AGAAATGAATATTAGGAGTTTTTTCCCACTTAATTAGCATCACTTGTCACAGAGCTAATGAATGGCATCAAGCTTTGATCAAAATGCTCTCTGGTTTTAAAATTTCTATGAAGCCAGGATCTTTTTAAACAAGAGTAGGTTTAAAAATAAACATCCATTTAAGCATAGATCATATAATTCATTTAATTATGTAAGTGAAACCCAGAGGAGATAAACAAGACAAATACTTTTTACCTTCTGGGTCTTTTCTCTAAGCCCCACTTCTAGCAGAAAATGGAAAGAACGCGTGGGGGAAAGCAGACAGTTATGATTTTGCTTTCTACCATTTCAGGAAAGCACATTGTTAAACCCCGTGAAGCCAGAAGGTCATGTTTAAGTTCAGTAAAGTGTGAATTTTCATTTATTATCCACACGGTTTTCTTTTCAGAACTAAGAACATGTCTGGCCCTCCCTATGGATTCAAGAAACAGTTTATTTACAAGTAGTGATTGATTTGTGAAAAAATAGGTGGAAATCGTACTGAGATTTTTCTCTGTAGATTGAGCTCTGCCTCAGAAGCAGGAACACACTAGTAGAAAGCACTTTTTCCTACACTTGTCAACTTCCATGCTCCTCTACAATCCTGCCCCTCCTCCTTCATGTTTTCCTTCTTGCCTGTTCATTGTCTCTAATCTACATTTTTTTTTTATAATTCCACTTCCTGAAATCCTAGTTTGGCTAGTAAATGGGTTGGGAAGGAGAAGGAGTTGAAAAGTAAAAGTGAGAGTTTCAAGGTATGGACTTGTAGTCAGGGACCTGTAGAAGGACCATTTATTTCTCTTCTTGCCTGCCTCCAACCTCCATCAAATCCTAACTAAGCACAAGGCAAGAATACCAGTGTCTTAGAGTTATTTATCTCCAGATAGGTAAGGGTAAGGACACGGGTAAGGAGAACAATTTGTAGGTCATTGCAGTAATTCTGGTAGTTTAAAATGGTGGTAGCTTGCACCATGTTATTTGCAATAAGGTTGGAAAAAAAGTGTTTGGATTCTTGGTCTATTTTGGAGGACACAGAAGGCTTTCCTGAAAAATCAGACAAAATGCAGGCAGGGGAGAGTGGGGTCATGGATCACATGTGTGGTCATGTCATAAACTGTGATAGAGAAGACAGTGGACCTGGGGGTTGAGAATAGGAGCTGATTGGGAGCAGTGTGGAACTCTTTAAGTTCCAGCTGTGAAGGGAGAGTTCTTATTTTAATTGGAATCAAGGAAAAATGTCCAGGCTTGAGATGTGCATTTGGAATTATGGGCACAATTGATGCATTTAAACCACAAGATTAAATGATCTTACTTAGGAGAGACATGTAGATCAACAAGGCAAAAGTTCTGAGGACTGAGAGTCCTGGTACATGCTGACCCTGGAGAAGGGGATTAAGAAAGACTAGCAAAAAGGGTTGGAGGAGATTGATGACACAATTCAAACTATAGAAGTTCTTGTTTGAATTGTACTTTGTCTAGCAATTAGAGTTTATGAATATGAATGTGAATTCACTGTGTGCTTTATCTTTCTTTACATCTCCAAAAAACGATATGCGTAGTTACAGCTTACATACACAGGAGTATGTGTATGTGTATGTGTTCTACTTACAGTGATGCTAAATATATTAACGTGTTTAGGTACATATATAAATTTTAAATTAATACTTTAATTCACTGTTTAATCAATAGAAAAATGATATTAAACCTGTTTCAATTTTCATTATGTATGATTTGCTATATCGTGTATAATGTATTTTGTCTGAAGAAATATTTTATCCTCCTTCTGGTTTTTATCTGATTGATAGTTGATTCAAGTGTTTGGATTCAGTGTAACTTTCATACCACTGTAAAATAGAGTTTAGTTATATTCTTTTTATCTAGATAATTAAATTATACTCGTAACTTTCCATTTAACTGTTAAAATATATGACATGTTTAAAGAGTAAGGCACTAAATATGTACATGAATTTATGTATACTTAAAATTATTTTGTGGGTGGTGATATTTCTGTCCATACCATACTATTTCATCCTGAACACCAACATTAGCTTTTATTGGGGAAAATGAATCTTTCAGACTCACTGGGTAAGATGCTCATCATTAAAAGACGTTAGGCAGGGAGTCCATTGGGAGGGAAAAGATGAAAGAGCCATGGAAAATGTCAGGAGAGGAACCCTGGCAAGGAGAAAGGAACCAAAGCAAGATGTGCAGAAGAGAAGGATGGAGTATCCGTGTAGCTCTGTGACAAATTTCAAGAAAATTAGAGGAGCTTAATAAAGGACTTTTATCAGAGTCATTGCATGGCATGATCCAGGGCCATGAATCAAAACAATGGCTGCAGATGTCTCTAAATTTGCTCAGTTGTCTTTTTGCATCAAAATATCCTGAGGCCTTATGACAAATGTTGCAACCTACTGTATCTCAGTGGGCCAAGGAATCTGCATTTTAAAATAAACACTCAAGCCCTGTCCTCATTCCCCAGTAGATTTTATTCCTGCTAAACTTTGAGCATTGGTGATCTAGATTATGAGAAAAGAAAATGTGAGAATAAAATCTTAGAAATATATGTTATAAATTCACATGGAGAGGAGAATCTAAGGGAGTTTGCAGAGTAAGAGCTAATGCAGAAAATATAATGAAAGTCCATAATATTCACAAATAAAGTAGTAGCAAACCACCCGGAGAGAAAAGAAGGAAGACAGTAGACACTAGAGGAAAAAAATAATGAACAGGATTGAGGGTATAGAGGACAGAAACGGTACAATGCAGAAGGAGGAGTCAAGGAAAGAGGAAGATGGAGACTTCATGGCTTGGAGCAGGGCAGGTTTTCAAGAACTAAACAGTGGGTGGCCTCTGAGTGCCCACCAGAACACACACCAGGAAGAAAACTCTAGTGGCAGAAGAGCAGGCCAGCAAACTGCACTGGGTCTGTAGTCCCTCCTGCTTCCTGAGGTCAGAGCTGCATGGGGTCCAACTTCTGCCTCACCCTGGTAAGACATCAATATCTTTAGATAATTGTCACCAAAATAGCACTGGAATTTAGGAAGGACCTTGGTGGGTTGACTTTTCGAGCCTGTCTCAAGGAATAGTTCACAATTTTTGTTCTACAGGCCCCAGTTCCCACCATAGGATGAACCAGGAATACATACAAGTCATACAAGGGCTCTACTGTTTCCCTTCTCCTCTTCTTAAGTGCTTAATTAGCATTAAAATATATAATAACTCCTTAAGGTGTATTTTAACAGCTGACATTTAAAATCTCCAAGTAGAAAATGAAAGCCAGTCCTTAAGAGCATCCTCAGTCTAGCCGTGCATTTCTTTGCCTTCATAAGCCTGTCATCCTCATTGACTCCTTGTTGGAACTTCTGAATAGCTGAAGCATTCAAGGACATTTCTTTTCATCACTCTTAACAGATACATGAATAATAAATCAAATATGAGGAATTTTATTATATTTTTGCTAAAAGAATAATATCCCCTAAAGATTGTTATCCCCCCCCCCCCGAAAAAAATTATTAGAGAAGAGAATACTTAGGTGTTAATTTTTCTTATTGATTTCTAAATTGTTACAGATGAGAAATGGAATTATGGGAATTTGAGTAATTTGCTTGGTAACTGTAGGGGAAATAGCTAGCAAATACTCAACATGGATTTCAAATTGTGGTGCAAAAGCACTTTAAGTATCAGGTATATTTGATATTTGGAGATAGCCCAGTACAGAGGTGCATGCCTGTAATCCTAGTAGCAAGGGAGGCTAAAGCAGGAGGATCCCAAGTTCAAAGTCAGCCTCAGCAACTTAGTGAGGCCCTATGGAACTTAGTGAGACCCTGTCTCAAAATAAAAAATAAAAAGGGTTGGAGATGTGGTTGAACAACCACATAGGGCAGGTTTGTATCAGCCATGACTTGCTCCTCCTCCCTCCTGCGCTGGGTTTTGCTGCTTTATTCATTTCTCTGATGGAATACCCCCTTTGTCTTTCCTGCTGAAACTGACCAAAGATGTCTTTGCTTTATGAATCCCTAACTCCCATGACATTCTCCGTCAGGTCCTAGATGATGATTATGAATTTCAATAATCCTTCAGTTAATAATCCATATTAAATTTCTTTAAAGGTCAGATGGGAAACCATAAGGAACAAAAAAGAGTGGTGATAAAGTAATGGAATGAAATTTTTAAGCTATAAAATTCTTTTCCTATTCAATAAAATTAGCCATATGCCCACCTGGCATTAATTTCTTTTCTCCCTATTCTGAATTTTAATACTTATTTCCTTCCTCCAGGGCCATGGGGAAAGTAGAGGAAGTGGTTTTTGAATGCTTGCTGTAATACCAAACACTGTTTTAGGTATCTCACCTGAGTGATCTCTAATCTCATCCATCTCATAGAATTGTTTGGACAACTATTCCCACCCTCCTGATGAGGAAGCTGAAGGCTGCCCAAGATTGCCACCTTAATAAGTGGCAGACCAGGATTTAGTTTGACAATGGCCTGAATGTAAAGTCTCATGCTTTTCTCTCTGGACTCAAGTCCATTAGTAATTAATAGTAATAATAATTTTTGATTACTAATACTTGACATATATAATCATATGGAATCTTACTGGTGGTTGAACAAGAAGTGGATGTATTTAACCTAGTCTTAAAAAAATGCATTTGTCACCTACTTAAAAATTTCTAGGAGTAATAAAGGGGGCCAATGGCAAGGAGAAGAGGAAGGAAAGAAGTGAATACTGAGAAATGAAATTGACCGAGTCTGTTATGTGCACGTATGAATATGTAACAACAGATCCCACTCAGGTATAATTATAATGCATCAATTAAAAAACAAACAGAAAACTGTTAGGATATCATACAAGTCCCTTGGAATAATTCTGATCTGTTTGATAGGGGGTAATGCCACTTGGAGTTCTGTTAATCATCAGCCACCTGGTATTAAATCCTTTCTGCTTTTGGTATAATGTGCCATTATCTTTGCTGTTGCAGTACTGGATACCAGTTTATTTACTATTCACCTGAAAACACAGCCAAAGCAAAAGAAGTTCTCAGCAACATCAATCAACTACAACCTCTGATAGCAACCCATGCCGACCTGCTGCTTAATTCTGCAAGCCAGCGTTCTCCAGACAGCTTGAAGAATTCGTTAAAGATGCTTTCAGAAAAAGTAAGATCCAAATCTTCACTATAGAGGGAAAATGAAATCCCCCCCAGTCCCATTAGTCTTGCGTTCTGTGTACATTGCCTTTCATAGCATCTGGAAGTGTAAGAGACTGGGTTAAAAGTGAGCTTCAAAATGTCGTCACAGGATCAGAATGAATTGGCCTTGTTCTCTTTTCAAATCTTACCAAGCATTATTTTTTTATTTTATTTTATTTTGTTGTTGTTGTTGTTTTTCCTGGTAAGAAATGAATCCTGTTATTGGTTGGTGGACACTGTCTCTTTTCCTTGGCATCTTTCATTTTCTTTGGCTTATGGTCTTATTAGGTGAATTAAATGAGATTTTGAAAAGTATTTTCTTCTGTTGATCACTTGACGTTTATGCATGCAAAGCCATGCATTTGAGTAAGAATGTCATTTCCTTTGAAAGCAGAACTTTGATGTGGGTTCACACTCTTGGCATGGGGGTAATTCCTCTGCTTCGGTTTGCTCTCTCCAATATTACCTACTGGGAGCAGATTCTAAAGATTTCTGTAAGCATTAGTTATTGTTTGAGACATACATAAGAAACTAAGGCTGGGTATTTGCTCCTGTATGTGCAGAAAGGAAGGGTGGTGTGGCATGGGACAGACACTCCATATCAACTTTCATAGCTAATGAGGGCAGCTGTGTGACATAAAGCCAAGGCGGAAAAAGACAAATTATGGGCTGACTTTAAATGTAAAACCAGATGTCATGGAGTCTAATACCAATATGCTCATCCATCACCTCTGCATTCTGACATCTTATAATTTATCTTGAGACACTTATAATGAAACTGACCAACAGAAACTCTTAACATTATAATTCTAGAGTAAGTTAAAAGTATACTTCTTTTACTTCTTTCCAAAGAACAGATTCTTAGAAACCTGGATATTATGTATATCTATAATTTTACTCAGATATTTGGATGTTTAAGAATAGTCACACCTTGCACTTGTGTAGCATTTTAAATTTTCATACATTTTCTCATAGGAAAAAACTAATACCCATTTTTATTAAAAATTAGCTGGCATCTGTGAAGAAAGGTTAAGTGACTTGCTTAATAAATTAAAAAGACAAAACTCAGAATCTCAAACCTAAGATTGAACTGTAGCATTCTTTCCATGCCATAATACGTGTGTCCATCATGAAAAGGAAAAAAATAATGACCAAATTTTAGAAGAACATACTTCATGTCAAAGCAAGGGGCTACAGTAGACTTATGCTATCTTGTTTAATCTTCACAATTGTGGGATGCATTTTATCTTCATTTTTTGACTCCAAGAAGTTAAAAACTATTAGAAACCATAAAACTAGCATAGAATCCAGGAACTGAACAAAACCAGGGATTCAAACCCAGGACTATGTCCTTTATATAATATATATGTTCTGAGTTTTCCTTATTTAAAATATTCAAAAGTCTTTTTATCAGACAAACTCCTTAGCAACAAATACGTATTCTAGTAGTCAACAAATATGTCTTTAGGGCCAAGGGAAAAAAAAAGAAAAAAAGTAAAGGATTGATGCGTACGGTAAAATAAAATAATATAATTTCATTTTGGTTCATTTCTCTTTTGGATTTGTAGATGAGGTGAGGTTTTTCCAGGCTCACCTAAGCAGAAAATTTTAGCAAATAGCACATCACTGTAATGATTACAGAGCATTATTTATATTCTTCCTGTGCATTGGGCAGGGACTTGTCATCTCATACATCATTTACAACTTGCTGCAGTGATTTCGGGGGTGGGGGGACTTTCTGCTCCTTTAATCCAGCACTGCTCCAACTTTTCTCCCTATGCTTTCTACAGGGTAGATAAGCTTTGCCTACTAATAAATATCTCAGCCTTTGAAACTAGGAGGATCTTTTTTAAGTTAAGTTTGCAAGCCATGCATTCTTTTAAGAATTCATGCCTGGAATTTCAGAGAATGATCTAAATTAACAATTTTACATATTTTATGAAGAAGAGTAGTTCCTGACTTATAATAAAGTGTGATCCATGAGTTTATTATGAAAAGGAAATAGTTTTAGTGACATCCCAAGTTTAAATGTAATTTAATATTAGTGTAATGTAAGTGTTTAAAGTTTCATTTTTCTAATAACTTTGGGAGATTTTAAAAACTGGATTAGAGAATACATTTTTTTCTTCATTCATAGTCCCCAGTGTTAAAAAGTAAATTTTACTATTTGTATAAGATATTTTAAAAGTAAATTTTACTATTTGTATTTAAGATATGCACACATACAGATAGTAAAAAGGTTACCAGGATGAAGGAAATTAGCACATCCATCATCTTACACAGTTATTGTGGGTTTTTTGTTGTCAGGTGGCTGGGCACGGTGGCACATGTCTGTAATCCCAGTGGCTTGGAGGCTGAGATAGGAGGATTGTGACTTCAGAACTAGCCTCAACCATGGCTAGGTGCTAAGCAACTCAGTGAGACCCTGTCTCTAAATAAAATACAAAATAAGGTTGGGGTTGTGGCTCAGTGGTCCCTGAGTTTAATCCCTGTACCCTCCCCTGCCAAAAAAAGAGAAAAGAAAAAAAAAGAGGTAACAGGGGAACTTGCTAACATATTCAGGAAATCTCAGAGTAGACAATACTTTTAGATCCTAAAGTAATTCATAGTATCTCAGCTGCTATGAATTAGAGAACCAAAGTGTAGGTCTAAGGTTACAAACAAAATTCCGTCCTTATGAACATTCATTAGTAGAAAAAAGGAAACACAATTTACAAAAATTAAAAGTATTTCCTGAATTCATACTGTAAACCAGGCACTGTGTCTGACACCAGGGGCACTGGGAGAATTTAAAAAAAAAAAAGACTCTGGACCCTTCTTCATAAGAAATTCATGGTAAGAGTTGTGGTGGTAATGACAATGACTATGACAGGTAGCAGGGTCTTAGCTGAGGCTTAACTCTGCTGCAAGGTATTCACTTTTCACAATTCCACGAAGAAGATACTACTGTTTTCTACACGGTTTCCTCTTAATCTTTTTTTTCTTTTTTATGAATCATGCTTTTATTTATTTTTTAATTTTTTTATGTGTTTTAATTAGTTTTGTATTCTCATTTTACTCTGTTAAGAAAACTAAGGCAGAGAACCATTAAATAATGTGCTTACAGTTATAGGAGTTGGTTTTCTGACTTCAGATTCTGTGAGCAGAACTATTGTCCTGTCTTTGAATATCCCAGGAGTTTATGATGGACACTTGTACTTTTGTGGTAAAGAACATAAGTGTGATTTCACAATAATAAGTATTTTCTGTAACAGTTTCATGTTCTCATGTACTACCATACCTCCTGATGGAGAATTGGATTTGTTGCATGTTAGTTCTTGCAAATATTAAATAATTTTATAAGTTTCTAACACTTAGCAAGCTTTCTCTGAATAATTACAAATGAAAAGACAAAGGATAAGGCAAAATTTTAACATGAAATATTAAAGTTTACTATTAGAATGGGACAAAAACTCATTTTTCTTTTGCTCAGATTAAATTTGTGCTATTTCATGAAAATATATCCAAGGAAAAATGTAAATAAATTCAGGCTGAAAAGAATTGAAAAATGAATGTAGGTAATATATGTTGTTTCTTATGGTTTAGAAATATATGTGACATTAAATTTCAAATGCCTACTGCTTTCCCCTTTCTATAGAGAGTTATAGACCTTGTTTAGAAAGTCATTATTGTCCTGCTTACTAAAAAGCATCAGTGAGCACTTAATTGTGTATGGTATTGTACTCAGTGCTATATGATAAATACTACATACACATGGTCCTTAACTTTTATAACCCAAGACTTTAAGAATGGTAGTGTGTCCCAGTGTTACAATTGTTAAATGGTTAAAAATGCAAATATTAGAGTCTATATTAGAGTATATTTAAGAAATTCTCATAATTAGTATTCTTTCATTTTCAGCATACTCTGCTAAAACACTGTGTGTGTATTGAAAGAAAAATGAAAAACATTTCATTCTAGAGCTCAAATCAAGATTTTCTTAAGAATTGTTCTGTTTCTATAAGAGCAATGGTAAGAAATTGAAGACACACTTAATATAGAGGAGAATTTTAATTATGTTGATTATTTATATACAGAATAGGAATTTCATATTGTTTATTCACTTCAACCCTTCCTAAGTCTAACTCAGCACCAAACTTTAATATAGAATTTAATGAGTAAAGATTTTTGGTTTATTATCTATGGTTATAAACTATACATACTAGCGGTCTAAAGGGAACTTGAGAATAACTAGTTTAAGTGAAGATTAAATTTCAGAATCAGAATTTATGCTTCTGCTTCTCATAAATCCTTCCATGTAGTAAATATTTAATTTATGAAATAGTATTATACAATTAACAAAATATGTGTTTATTAGAAAACTTCAGAATCGGAAAAAAGATGAGAAAATAAGATAATGTTAAGAATGAAACTTGTATATAAAATTCATGAAGCAGAACTTCTGTCCATGATAGAGACAAATGGATCCTCCTACCTTAAAGTGTGATAAGACTGGACAAAATTGTTTTTAGCCACTTGAAAATAGGAAACACAGAAAGTTAACAAACTATGTGATCCTAAATTGCTGAGCTTACATTCAAAGGCATTTTCCAGGCTATAGCACTTAGGAGAAGGAACATAAACAGTATGTTCTCAAATTAAGTAAATAGAGATTAGAATTTGGGAAGTCCAAGATAGCTAGAAATAACAGAGCAGAGCACCAAGAAAAGAGGAATCTTCATATAGATAGAGACTTGTAGTCCTGTAAATGAGTGCCTTTAAATCTTTAGTTCTTGTTCAAGTTTCACGGAGAATAAACTACCCATATTCAAAAAGGAAATACTAAACAGAAACCACTAAAACAGTTCCTAGTTGTCGCACAGGGCTAAGAATAATTTATCTTTCTGCCAGCAGAGCAAACGAGATGTTCAGGGAATCGAATAGCATCATCACAAGAATATGGCCCTAGTAGTAGGGATAAAGTAGTAC